TTAATCTTGAGGTAATTACGTATGTATGTATATACATATGTATGTATGTATTTTATTTTCTGGAATTAGTAAAAAGTTGGTCAAACATAAAACTTGCATTGCTCTTCCATTGTAAAAGTGACTCAAAGGGGTCAAACGCTGCATACAAAGTTCTGTACAAGTTGAAAGTGAAAGTTTTGTCGGGTCAATATACAGAATGTGTACATACAAGCAGCGTATGTTTGTATATATGGGCTGGGCAGACTATTTGCTCATAACATATAACATACACTCTTAAGCATGAACCAACATTCAAAGTTTATATTTGTAGGTTAATATTAGCAGCATATAGGCATACAAATATATTCATGAACGAGTAYATAAGGACACCGCGTCAAACTATAGGTGTGTAAAGAGTGGATTGTGACATACGCCGGTTTGCGGCGACAGTCTGGATAGTTGAAATCTCGGTAGACATGTAACACATCCTTATATACTTTTTCCGACAAACATTAACTCACAAACTCAACTACTCACAAAAACTTATTCAAAATGCGATGGCGCCTTCAAACTTGGGAGAGGCGCTCGACTAAACAGCAAGCAAATAAGTTTTTTATATACATACGTTTTTTTATATACATAAATACATATATTCATGCACACATATTATATAGATAGATCACACTCAAAAGGCTGTGATGAACGACAATAAAAGCCATTATTCTAGTGAAATGAATACATTTTGAGGTCATTTTGTTAAGAGAATCGATGGCTCTATTCTTGAACACGTCTTTAAAATTCTTGACAATGCGCTTTATAAGCAATTCAGCAAAATAATTCACGCCCAGAGAGCAAACTTGAAGTAGAATGTGAGTCGAAAGAAACCGAAGAAAAATTGGAATTGCCTTTTGAATGCGAACAAGTGCGTTTTATGATTTTAATACYAAGCCATAAAGAAATTATAAAAATATAGATGTGAAAAACACCATAAATATGTACAAAAAGCATATACGAAAGTTGAAATAAAAGCTAACAAGAACAAAGCTTGGTGTGACGTGGCTGACGGAGAAGCTTGCTGGTTGTAAATTTTTTGTGCTTTGATTCCAAAACTGGTTTGCATTTCTAAGACATACACTGTATATGTATATATTTATATGTGTGTATATCACATGTGAAAGTACATAGTAGAATTAAGCGCCTAAAATGCGAAGCAACAAAATCTTTCACAACCGGCAAATTGTATAGGTACATGCATATACACATATGTRTTATAAATATTCGGATTGAGCTACTGGAATCGCATGAAAAAACCACACCCGGTTTTCACATTTGATTGCAACAATTGTGACCGCGTACACAAAGCGAGATATTTGCTCGTAAGGGCAATCCACCATGACACCACGCTCAGCTCTAAAGAAGCCTACGAAAAGATCACATACATATGTAGGTGTGATATTTAAGCGAGATAACTGTAATGAAATCTGAAGCAGGAAAACAAATGCAGAATACAAAATTTAAGAAGAAATCATCAAAGTGAGCTTTTTAGAGCGAGTAAGCCTTTAGCAATTGACACAGCCATTTAGCAGCAAATGTAATATATTCAAAGGAATTTGCACACAGGTGYGTATATAACTACATATACATATTTGAATGTTATGTATTCACTTTGTTAATTAGAATATTTGTGTATGGAATATTTTTGCACAAAATTCGCCAATAAGGCAGTAAAGAAAATTAAAGTTCGAATTAAAATATTAAAAAATAACAATAACTGCATTAATAATTAATAAATAAACTGCGAGTTGTTCAAGTAAGAGATTTTGTATTATTTAGAAAGAGGAGGAGAAATGGTAAAACTTTTTAGCGACTTTTGATTGTTACCTTAGCGGCAAAAAGCATTCCAAACTTAATTAAAATCATGTTTGTATTTCTTTAACTTCGTAAATAATTTGGTATAGCTTTTTTGCATTTTTTTTTATTTTTTTTTTTGGAATTTCACACAACAACTAACAATAAAACCATTAAGATCGATGACTATACATACAATGAATCATTGACAAACAGAAATATTCGTATGCATGTATGTATCTACATATATATTTACACAGGTATTGTACATATATGTATATGTATAAATGTGTATACACTGAAATACTTCATTACGCTACACTGAGTCATATGATCAACGAAAAAATTCGTGGAAGTAAATAAATCTGTAAAAAAGCATTCACCTGAACTAACAACAATAAAAAAATGCATTAAATTATAATATAAGAAGCTCGATTATTTAATATTATGAACATGAATCATCTTACAAGTGTTGAGGGTTTGAGAAGATACGGTGTAAGAAATGCAATTTATGTTGTTATTTAAATTGTTCATTTATAATATAATATATAATAATGAACTTGTAACTTCGATTTTTGCTTTATTACTCACATCCGTTGCATTCACTCTGTATGTATATACATATGTACATATGTATGTATGCATATATATGTTTTACCCAGTAGCACTTTTTCTCATTTGCGCCGATCAAAACGCTCTTCAGCTAAGCTCTATAGGCAAAAGTATGCCGAAAACATTTTGTTTAGCCACACGATCTTAAACAGATGCCGCTTTATAAAAGCTATAATTGAAGTTGTCTATGTGTAAATGTATACCGCTACATATACACTTGTGTAGATACATATCCAAAATATATGTATATACTATGCACATCGAACTTTCTATAGCCTTTTTTAATACATTATTTATCATATACAGCAAACAGCACTGCCCCGTTGGCAAAGACTGCCAGAAGAAATCTTCGTACATGCTTATTTCAGTGATTCTTAAGTATACATATGCATATACGTACATACTATTTCTGTTTTTATGGATGTATGTACATATGTTTTAAGTGCAAGTATATGTATGTATGAACAATTTTTTTTTTTAATTGTTATTGTTGTATACAGTGAGCATGTCTTCAGTTGATTCATTGTAATTACATCGTTAGTTGGTTTTGTTTAGCATTTATCATATTGCTAACCTTTGTATTCAGACACTTTGTTGTTGTTATTTACAAATGTTGGCGGTGATGATGTTGGTGTTTAGTTGGAATGATGATGTCATCAGCTGCTGTTAGAGCGCTTGAATTTATTCATTCCAATGGGAAATATATATAATTTCCAAAAAAACAATTAATTTACTCGTTTTGAACAAAAAATAAATACAAATATAGAAAAACTAACAGTTGAAGAATAATCGTTATAAATAATCAAAAAACCGAAAACCGCGCCCAGTTTGTTAATCTTGAGGTAAAACTTTATATTCTCCACAAAGCCACAGATATTCACTACACTTTTTGCTCATTTCACACATTTTAAATGCACTGCAGACGTAATTTGTGTGTGTAAGAATTAAAAAAAAAAAAAAAAGCACACAAATAAATACATATATTCACACAAAGTGAAAGTTGTACATTAAACTATTTTTAAAAAATTTCTATTTACCACAAGCGAATGTATTTTTGTACTGCCAACTGTGTACACTCTCTGCTTCAACGCCTCAACGTAGACTGAAATACGCCGYACAAATGTAATTACTTTTATTCGCGCGAGCATTGAAAGTGAACAAAAGTAGATGAATATCAGTGGGGGAGCGTAAGCTAACAAGAGTCAATAAGCTCTGCACTAACAATAAACTACTACCGGCTTTGAATGTTTCGGCATGTAGAGCAAATGCTAATTTGTAAATGATTTCAGAGTGGAGGAGACCCTCTTTTTCWATAGTTTCTCTCTCTCACCTATGTATTATGCTCTTCCAATTAAATATTTCAACTTCTTGGACTGAGAGAGAGCAACATTTCCAAACGCCGGCTATAACAAAGATAAAACATTCTTCATTTTTTCTGTTGTTGCGCAAAATATCGAGAGCTTTCTTATATTAGACGCTTTGTGCTAAATAACGTCATATACTTGGCTTAAATTTAAGCGCACATATTCACAGCATATTTGTTTCCAAAAGAACGTCATGCAATTAAGCCATGGTGAATCAACAAAAAACAAATATAAAAGCAATAACAATATGACTAATGACAACACCAATAAACATACATATGTAGATAATACAAATGGTGTATCCCGTAGAGATTGAATTGTGCAAGACTAAAAGAGATAAKTATTAATGAATGTGAGTTTTTAAGATTTGTATTTTAAAAACATTCCTGAATACTGAAATATTAAAGGTAAAATTCAAGTTTTATACTGTATTGTTGGCGCCAATTTTATGCATACATAGTGTACAAGTATGGATAAATGTATGCATATAAATTAATTCTTAGTAGTTTATTATTGTTTGTTTAAAAATGACTGATTTTGAAATATATTTTGAGAAAATCTAGTTTCGAGCAATATGTCATACTTGTAGCAACGGCTTTAATGTAMACATATCAATATACTGGCACATTTTAAAATAATGTTTAAGATATTCTACATTTTTATTAGCATTATCTTAACTATATGAAATATATGTGAACTTTATGTCAAGCATATCTTATTTTATCTCAGATTTGTAAATGTTAGAAACTTACTGATAGATATTATTGTAAGTCTAACTCAGAATTCCTCTTAATTTCCGCCGTCAAATCACTTTGAAAATTCTTACAACTATAAATAATGTGCTAAGTTTAATTTTAAAAAATGTGTACTTGCTATGGATGAATCATAACCATTAAAGTAAGCTTGAGAACAAATTACATTTTTAACTGTGCTTTTTAAACTAATAGAGAGCGCGTCTCTCAACAGTTTCGTACTCACACAAACTTTAAATCTCTTTAAACATTGAATACGCTGTTAGTGTTTACAAATACGTGTTGGAATTCAACTAAAACGCTTTACATTAAATTGCACTGCTACACTTATGGAATTCTATAGAGTAATTGACTTTCATAACGTCAAAGCAATTAATCATGAAGGTAAAAATAATCATATGATAGGAGCTGGTCCACTTACCACTTTGCAAAAATAATATATTATAGCAAGCTAGAGTTAAAAATTGTTTGATGTTTATGATAAATCACGAATTCCATTTTGTTTAATCTGAAAGTAAAAAAATCTTTAGTAGTTTAACGTAAGAATTTTTAAAGACGACAAAGTACCACGAAAGGTAGAGSTACTTTTGGTACTATATTCGACTTTTCCATCAATGCAACGAAACAATTTTCTTCAATACATTTACTAAGAATGATGCGCTGATTAATTTTATGTCCGTGGCTGTCGCCTAATGCTGGACATATGTTCCAGTCATTGCCAGTAATACGCGTTGTTAACTCATTTGTTATAACAACCTGCAATAAAATAAATATTTATATTGAAAATATTAAGCATATATGCATAACAATATCAGTTGAATGATTTCTTGTTTTTAATTAAATTTTGACACTTACTACTACTTTAAAATCTGTCGCTAACTGCTGTAGCTGCGATAATAAATTATAAACTACTCCAATACGTTCTGCCACATCTTCAATTAAGCGCAAAGGGAAGGAGAACGAATCAACGATGATCAGCTTTATCTATCAAAATTGCATAAGTATAATATATAATTTCATAAWCTTAAATATTTTTAAGAATATGAAAATAATTATTTGTACCTCATTATTATTAATTAGCATTTCACGTAGACTCTCGACTGCCGCTTGTAGTATTATATGATTTTTACAATACAAATAATTTACTCCTGCCAGTATTGAATTAACTGTAAAAGGATATTGCGTGCCTAAGTCAAACCCAGTTTTGGGTAAGGCACGAATTAAACGTTTTTCGGCACAGTACGCAATTTCTTAATTATTTTTTTATTTAGTAAAGATAACATGACAAAAAATAACTCAAGTTTTCTTTACCTCGCAAACGATTAGGACTGAAATCTTGATTTGTATCCAAATACACAGCTTGGCCCTGAAGGCCACCCACTCTTCGTGGAAATTGCACATTGATACAAAGCTGCAAACTGTTTATTATAATCATTAATTTGTCGATTTTCGAATTTAAATTATATCAATGATATTACCACATTTGTGTTTTCCCACAACCTGGTCCACCGCAAAATTCAGTAATCAAACCAGCTGCAAGACCACCTTCTAAGATATCATCTAATTTTTTACAAAGAGTTATAATGCGTGGCATTTCTTTCTCTTGTCGCCATATCTCAAAAGAACTTATTTTAAACATCGTATTTTACTTTTGAATAAAATTTATATTATTGTGAAATTTGGCGGGTTTATTTACAATTGGTGGGAGCCGGTTTGTTTACGTTTTATGTTTCATGATCAGCTGATGGCCACAACAGTGTTGTAAAACTTTTTAATATTATTATACTTGGGTTAGATGAAAGCGCATCACGTAATCGAATCGTAATGATTTGCTAAACTGTTTAACTAGTACAAAATTTAATTTCTTAATAAGTAAGTGCAAAAAGCGCAAATGTCTATAAAAAGAAATAATAAAATAAGAACAATCAGAAACATATACTAGTTTTTACTGACAWGATGCCAATTTTTCACGTATATATTTTCTTTTAATACAACTCTGTGCTTTTGTTTCCGATTCCGACAATTRTTTTTACATAAACGTTTTCCCGGTGATTTCCTATTTTTTTGGTGATTTTTATATAATAATAATTTATTTGTCCATAAAGTAAATATGCAAAGCACAAATTTCAATTTAGGCCGAACTGGTAACATTGCCTTAGAATAACTGTTAAAATATTTACAAATATGTGGTAAAATGTCCGGAAATGTGCAGGTTATAATTTTAGTTTTCCTGCAGTCTAATAAGCTAACCTTAGTGCTTATAAAAAATATTCTAACAGCAATAGCAACTTCGCATGTGGTGTACGTTGAATTACACAAAGGAAATTATTTTTTCCTTAGTGCGACTACCGTTGTTTTCTGAATTCCACTTCATTTGTCTACATTTTTGTTTTGTTTTTGTAATTACTTATTTTAGTAAATTTCATTTGAAAAATACTACTGACAACAGTGGCAAAAAATATGAGTTAAATTACTGAGGACATTGATAGTGGTGTAACAACAATTGAAATTGAAACTATGCCAGAAGGATTTAATCTCAATATTAGATGGAACCTAGAAATGCAGTATCAAAAATTAACTAAATTGAAACGGAAACCAACTACTATCTATACATCACCCTGTGAGCAGGCATTCAGCGCAGTCAACAGATTAACTTCGGCAATAAACTCAAGGCAGTATCCTTTACGTGCTGAACTGGACTTGCAAAAATTGTGATGAGTAATTAAGTATTCACGAAAATTCGTACAAAAAGATAGTAAAACTTGTACACGTGGAAAAATTGCAGACATCAACCAACATTATTATTCACGCTTTTAAATCAATAACACGTATCAGTTTTCTAAAATGGACAGGATATATAAGGAGACTTTTGGAACACTATAAAATATAGTTAAAAATTGTCAGTGTGACTAGCTGAATCGATTTAGCCCTGTTGATCTCAAATTTTGAAATGTTTTTTTTATTTGAAGCTGACAGTCGGTAGCGGACCAATATAGCACATAGCTACTATACAAACTGAACTATCGGAATTAAGTCTTTGTATTGAAAACATTTTTATTTGATAAGGTATCTTAGCGAAATTTGTCATATTTTATTGTTGCTGTTATAACTACAGAAAACATTCCTGAAACAATTTCAAGGTATGGTGCGGAGTTGAAAGTTCTTGGCCGGATCCTTTCCAATTATTTAGACATATTATTGCGGTACAATCTTCAATGAAACCGTTCAGATCGGAGCACGAATCGGCTCGATGACACTTCCATTGTAGAATAGTGTATGAATGTGCTTTCTTGAAGGTTCATATATACAATTACAACTTGCAGAGAATCAAATTGGCACCTCTCTTTGGTCCCGTCTATAATTTGSAGCGAAAATTTTCAAGTGCTAATGTTTATGACACCGCTCACGAGATTGCTTTTATCAGTAAATAGTTTTGTCAAATACTCTCATGTTGAACTACATAAATCCGGGAAAATACATAACTGCGTTATACCTAAACAAGGTATAAATAGAGACCGTCCGAGTTTTGTGTTCATAGAAAAGAAGTGTTTGTACGTTAAACAACTTCTGTGTGTGTTCACGGAAAGTAGCCGTTATAATTTTAAAGAAATTTTCAAAAATCAAAAAAATGGTTGGTACTTCGAAGGAAAAGCGCATCTTTAAACAGTATGAGCCAACAATTTGTTACAACAAGCCGCCTTCGGCACAAGTTGATCCAGCAGAGTATGAAAGCAAACGACTTGAAACACTTTCAGGTAAGATCGTCGAAACACTGATCGTACCAAAATGCACCGCTCGCACATGGACAATGCAGGCTGGCGATTTGTGTCGCATTACTGTATGTGAGGGTTCACAGGTGGGTGATATGAATTTCTGGAATTTGCACAATATCAAGGAACACTTCTACTCGGGCAAGACACGTCAGTTGCATAGTACACATCTCAAGGTTTACGATCGCATATGGAGTAATTTCCCCTATTTGAGACCAATGGCCACACTCGTCCACGACACGTTAGCGGATTATGGTATCGACGAGCATGGTGGTGCGCTGCATGATGTAGTTGGAACGCGTTGTGATGATTATACATACAAATTGATTACCGGTAAAGATCGTGTGGGCAGCTGCCATAGTTCACTAACGAAAGCGGTTATCCAGGAGCGTGGTATGAAAGAGGAAGATGTGCATGACGTATGGAACATTTTTATGTGCACAGGTTTTACGAGAGTGAGTATAAAACAGTTTTGTTACATGCAATGGCATCTTGTATATGATAGCAAATCAAATATTTGCTATTTTGTCAAAAATTTCAGGATACTCAACAATATTTTTGCAAGCCCAGCCCAGCACGTAAAGGCGACTATCTCGAGTTTATTGCCGAAATTAATCTATTGATTGCGCTAAGTGCCTGCCCACAAGGTGATGTCTCAGTTGTGGTCGGTGAGGAAGTACCTGATGAAATATGCCATCCACTGAAAGTTGAAATTTTTCGCAAAAGTAACAATAATTGACAATATACTTCTATTTAGACATATGCTCATATATTGAAAGATAGATTTTAAAAAATACACTCTAGATACCTGCTTAGCACAAAAATTAATATAAAATTTGTTTTTACATTTTACAACAAGCATTTTTCTCCGAACGTAGTTACTTTTTGGTGAGGAAGTACCTGATGAAATGTGGCATCCACTGAAAGTTGAAATTTTTCGCAAAAGTAACAATAATTGACAATATACTTTCGTTTAGACATATGTTCATGTATTGAAAGATAGATTTTAAAAAATACACTCTTAGCACAAAAATTAATATAAAATTTGTTTTTACATTTTACAACAAGCATTTTTCTCCGAACGTAGTTACTTATTTTTGTTTTTGATATAATATTCAAACCGAATTAAGGCGAATTCGTGATAATTTCATCATAAAATCTGGTTATTGTCTTCTTGCCAAAGTGTAGATTTGTAAAGATCAATTGATGCAAAAGCTGTTTCATGTTGTGAAAAAGTGAGAACTATCAGAACGATATAAGTAAGTACGAGGTAGTTCAAATAAGTAAAAGCGGTATATTTTAAATATATGTGCATAATATTATTTATTAACTTTAAATATTTTTTCTTGGATTCAACTTTACTTTATASATGACTTCTTCAGAAGTCACAATTCTATCACACTATCCATAGATTCTATTAGTTTCGTACATATTTATACATATATGTACATATAAAAAGTATACATATTTATATAAATAAAATGTATAGGATCAGTTAGTCGATCTCTATCCCATTTCGTAAACACCGATTAAATTTCATAGTTGTCCAATGCTGTTTGTGTATTCAACATGGCATACGAATTTATATAGTAGCTGTCTGCTTAATAAACAATATGCGTGCATATGTATATATGTATCTCCATATATACAAATGGTACCTACATACATTGCAACAAAAAAGTACCCGAAAATAATAATAATAATAATAATAAGTACCCGAAAATTGTAAATAAAACGCAAAATATTTAATCACCAGCAGATGTAATACACTTTTTGCGAAGGCTTTAAGGGTGATTGATGGTACTCATTGCGTTTTTGCCTATAAATTCGGTCACAATCGTACTATATTTGGAAAAATTCAGCTTTAATGGGACAAGTTTCATACCCACAACATCCACCAAAATCATTCGAACAGACTCAGGAGAGATATCGAACTCTCTTGACATCTCTTCAACACTTACTTGACGATTTTCAAACACCACGTCCTTCAGTTTTTTAATATTTTCATCATCGCCCCTGGTCGTACCATCTTAGACAAAATACATTTACTTGAAATATCATTTACCTGGAGAATTTATTTACAATTTCCGGATGCTTTTCCGTCGCAATCTATATAGCTATTCATTCGAATAAATAAATTCTACAATAATTTATCAATATGCTGCGGAAAGGTGGGTCTTTGTGATTTAGAAGAGGGTACAATAGACCTAAGATCGGTACAATCGTCATCTATTTATCTTATCACAACCAGTTTTGCTCAAAATTATACTCACTGGTTAAATAAGTTGCTCTCTTTCTAGTTTGCTTATAAGTGAATAAAATGTAACTCCCACTTGTTAAATACGTTGCTCTCTTTGAATTTTGCTTATAAATGAATAAAAACTAGCATCTACTGATTAGAATTTGCAGTTCTATTTGATCGCTAARGTTACGCGTAGAATATATTGCTAAGTAATTGCTTGAGGTATAGTTGACATATTATTCCCAAATATGGCGGCGAACAATGGTGGTTGGTGTGGACGCGGTTTTAAACACCGTACTTTTCCTAAGCACTCACCTTTGATATGTTATAATAAACCTGCATCGGCACAGGTCGATAAAACGCTGTACGACGACAAACGTTTTAAGTCGCTCACTGGCGAGATTGTGGAGACAGTGGTCGTCCCAAAGCGCAGTGCACGCACATGGACAATGCAGACCGGCGATTTATGTCGCATTACTGTGAGCGAGGGCTCACAGGTGGGCGATGTGAATTTTTGGAACTTGGATAATACCAAAGAACGTTTCTATTCGGGCAAGACACGTCAATTGCACAGCACACATCTCAAAGTTTACGATCGCTTGTGGAGCAATTTACCTTATTTAAGGCCAATGGCCACTTTCGTTTATGACTCATTGGCAGCCTATGGAATTGATGAGG